CAGATGAGTCTCGTACAAACCAGAGTCTGGACCAGAGAGAAGACATTTTTCAAACCCATCTTCCTGATTCTCACATTTCCCCAGGATCTTTTGGAAGGCGATGTTGCCCTCAAGACTTTCTACTGACATAATGCTGTCCTTGCTTAGCCCTGGGCTCTCGTCCTGTGGGGGCTCCCTGGCCCCACAGCTCACCTCGCCCTGTGCCTCTTCGCCAGTCACGTCCCCTGCACCCTCTGAACTCACTGAACTCAGAGTAAATAGAGACCCTTCATCAGAATCACAGTTGGTGTCCACCTCGTACTGAGTGTCAGAAGGAACACATTCCTGCACTGGTTCCTCCTTAGCAGGAGTGACATCCAGGACACTACCCCATCCTGGAGGAAGGACCGCTGGGCCCGTGTCTCCCAGGTCACTGTGTGTGATGGTGCTGCAGCAGGCTGATGGCTCTTCCTCCACATGGGCCCCCTGGAGCCTATGGTGCTGTGTGCTCAGCAAATGAATGTCAGCGCTCACTCGTGCTTCCTTAGGAAATCCCATCTGTGAGCCTGTAATTTCCCAGGGTAACTGTTCAGTGCCCCATCTTTCCCTATTCTCTCCAGTCCTCTGTGCATTTGTGTGTGTTGGCATCTTAGAGAGAGAAGCTGTCATTTCCCTCGAGAGTGACAGGTCTAATTCATTTGAATCATTACGGGTAGAGCCAGAGACAGTTTGTAAGGTGCCAGCTACTGAAGAGACGCCCCTTGCATGCTCATGCAGATCATCTTCTGGGGCCACAGTTTCATAATTCGATTCTCTGAGAACATTATTCTTGTAGATGTGGCCCTGGGCTGCTGAAATTAGTCCATCCTTATCAGCATTTGGATGTCCACGGAGAATGGCACGAGCTGTGCTGCCATTTGGAAGCACATTAGCGGTTCTACTTCCTGCCCCGGGGTTGTGTCTGTATCGTTCTGAGCTCTGCTGACTGCCAGGCTCCTTTCCCAGAGTTTGTTCAGGAATGACAGCAGTGTGTGGGCTTGGCTCTGTCACCAAGAAACCATCCTGGTTCTCACAGAGGTTCAGATCATGGAAGGCTGGGTGCAGGTCTGCCCTCGGGCGCTGTATGTTCCCTGCAGCCTCAATGTCATCGTAGAAGCCCTCGTTTGAATGGGCATTATTTGAACCAGGGCTTTTGTTCCGGCATCTGTGTCGCCACAGTCTATCAACATAAGGCCTGGCGAAAGCCCCCAGGCAGAAAGCCACAAAGAATGTGATGAATACCGACAGGCAGACGGCCAGGGCGAGGTGCTGGGAATCGTCTTTCTTTCTGCCAGTAGTGTGCACGTCCCGGGCATTCCTAACCCTTCTTGGCTGTGGGCTCTGCTTCTCCCTGAGATCAGAGACCATACGTGTCTTCCTCCCCAAAGTGGAAAAGCGCATGTACCTTCCTTCCCAGTGCTTCTCTGCTTTGCTCCTCATGAGGCTTTTCATGTGATTCAGGTTAAAGTGAGGAAGGTGGGCCTCCCTGGAAATTCTGCTTTTGGAAGTCCCCCAGTAGGCTTCCTCATTCCCTGAAAGTGGGAGATAAAAAAAAAAAGCACTGAGCAGACGATAAAATATGATTTCAAGGGTTTTAAAAGCTTCTGTGAGTCCTCCTCTCTCCCTATCTAGCTGTATTTCAAAATGTATATTATATGATAAGCAGTTTCTTTTTCTTTCTTTCTTTTTTTCCTTTTTGTCTTTTTTTTTTACTGACCGGTAACGGGATCGCAACCCTCAGTGTCGGCGGATGTACGGTACAGCAGAGTCTGGACCAGAGAGAAGACATTTTTCAAACCCATCTTCCTGATTCTCACATTTCCCCAGGATCTTTTGGAAGGCGATGTTGCCCTCAAGACTTTCTACTGACATAATGCTGTCCTTGCTTAGCCCTGGGCTCTCGTCCTGTGGGGGCTCCCTGGCCCCACAGCTCACCTCGCCCTGTGCCTCTTCGCCAGTCACATCCCCTGCACCCTCTGAACTCACTGAACTCAGAGTAAATAGAGACCCTTCATCAGAATCACAGTTGGTGTCCACCTCGTACTGAGTGTCAGAAGGAACACATTCCTGCACTGGTTCCTCCTTATTGCGTCTGCAGCACGCTCAGCCAGTGAGCGGGAACCGGTCTCTACATGGGATCCGAATCGGCGGGAGCGCAGAACCAAGCAGTGCATTCTCCAGTGCGCCACCAGGCGGGCCCTTTTTCTTTCTTTCTTTCATTCATTCTTGTCTAATGTATCTGGCTCTATGAATATTTACACTTGGCCACCAGGCTTAGGTCTGCTGCACATAGGCCCAGGAAGTTGTACATTTCTTAGGCTTCTTGCCTAATTGCTGCCCGTGGAAGGAAGAAGCCAGACTGGAGGGACAGCCACATTGCTTCTCCTTCCTCCAGACTCTCAACAACTCCATGTTTGCCAGAACATTCATCGGTCCACTGCAAAATCTGTCTTGGCCCTCCAGAGGTTTGAAGTATTATTTCTCACCATTCCTCGGTGCTGGTAAACAGCAAAAATATTCACTTTTCTTTACTGGTTCCTGACATTCTGTGCCCTACACATTCAAAATGCCAGTTGTGGCTTTTAGAAAGGAGTGAAACCACTGTGGCCGACAACATTAAGACTTCTCTGCTCTTTGTGGATTTCTTCTAAACCTCATAAGCATGGCCATGTTTCTACTTTGATGGCAGTCCTGACAAGGACAGAGTCCAGGACTCATAAAACAAAATCTGATTTTTTCCCCCTAGTTTGGAGTTTGAGATTTAGCCAAGATAGTTAATAGAGGGGAAAAAAAATTTCCAGAATATTCAACCCCAGTAACAAACCAAAGGATAATATACTTTTGAAATATGTGTGTTTGTTTTATGTACATATTGAATCACACTTTCAGAGTGTTATCAAGCATTTAATTTAATGATGTTTTAAATTATTTAAATGTTCTTTCTTTAATGAATTATTTGTTAAAATTTGGATAAAATTGCTGTAGTGGATTGAACTATGTCCCCCCAAAACTCATTGAAGCTTGAATTGTGTCCCCCAAGTCTTATGTATTAGAAAGTTAACCCACACTGTAACTGTTAAGAGTGTGGGAAATTCTATTATGGTAATTGAAAGGTGGAGCCTTGAAGAGGTAATTTGATTGAAGGACAGTGCAGTAGTGAATGGATTAAAAATGGTGACTGGGGCATGGTTCTGAGGGCTTTAAAAGAAGAGGAGGAGACTCTGTCTGTCTGTCTGTCTGTCTCTTTCTCTGTTCTCTCTGCTTCCACCATCTTGCAATGTGAGACCCCTAGGTCACTGTCATCACCACCAGATGGACTTTGGACTTCTCAGCCTCAGAAACTGTAAGCAATAAATTTCATTTTTCTTTATCGTCCAGTTTCAGGTATTTTGTTATAAGGAACAAAAACAGACTAATACAATTGTGATATTTTGGAACTTCAGGGGAAAATTCTCTTCTAGTGAAATTTTTACTTTTGACCAAATCCAGTAGATTCTGAGTGATTTGAACTAGGTTTCTTTGACCATGTGAAAAAAATCATTCATGAACTGAGAAAAACAGCTCCTGCTATGAGTTAAATATGTCCTTCCAAAGTTCATGTACTGGAAACTTAATTCCCATTGTAACAGTGTTAAGAGGGTGAGAAATCCAATTATGGTATTTGAAAGGTGGGGCCTTTAAGAGGTGATTAGATTGTGGGGACTGTGCCCTTGTGAATGGATTGATTCATTCATGGAATAATGGGTATGGTTCCGATGGCTTTGTAAGGAGAGCTAGTGAGAAAGTTAGCTCTCTCTTGCTCAGCCCATTCTCACCATGTGATATCCTGAGTTGCTGAAGAGTTCCCACCAAGAAGGCCCTCACTAGATGTGTTCCCTGAACCTTGGACTTCCCAGCCTCTACAACTATAATAAATAAATTTCATTTATTTATAAATTACCCAGTTTCAGGTATTCTGTTATAAGCAACAGAAGTAATAATAATACAGGTATCAATAATTATTCTGTAACATAGCCCAAGACTAACTAATGCCAGAGATCAGCATTCTTGCTTTTAGAGGGACTGTCATTGTGTCAAATTACACCACATTTTTTGATGTGCATTTTTCAGTTCAAATGGCGCCATTTCAGAGAGAAGAGGTACTACTGATTTACCTGTAGACTTGTTGCAAATTACATTCCACTTTTTCCTCCAGGATTCAGAAATGACATTTTGGAAGACTGCCATGCTACTGTCACACTGCCATTGGTTATCAGCCAAGTCAACCTCCAGATGGGGAAGTTCTAGAGCAAGGATCAGCATCGGTAGTATAGTGGCCAGAGCATTGTTGCTGAGGTCTACAACCTGCTTGAGAAGAAACAAATTTAGGACAATCTGTGAATAAAGACATTCAGAAATAAAATAAGTTACAGAAAGATATTGTTTATGTCTCTCTGGAGGCATATGAATATAGCACTGGTTTGAGAGTCAGAGAATACTGGGTTTAAATCCCTTCTTTGCCCCTAAAAATTCTGGGTGTCTTGGCAAATTGTTTACTCTCTCTGAGCCTATCCCACAGTGTTGTTGTAAGGACTAAATATATGTTAAAACTTTAAGTATAATGCCTATATTTGATGCCCAATCATTTCCCCTTCCTTCTTTCCTATGAGTTGCAATTTGTACTATTAAATAAAACTTAGACTCTCATGTTATCAAGGTCTGAAATTGGACACCAGGTCTAGAATTTCTAGAAGCACTGCAGTCTTGAAAGTGGCAGAAGGTACTGGATGATAAGGACATAAAACAGAAGGATTGTGGTTGACCAGAAGTACCAAAGAGAGATCTTTTGCATCAAATATTATCTCAGGAGTAGTAGAACATTTCTCTGCATCCATGGCTATTCAGTACACACAAGATGACTAACTTTTCTAGTCTAATCAGAAATGAAGGGGAAACAGGGGAACAAAAAGGATTTAGTGGCTCTAGAAACACAGAGCAGGATCTGTTGAGGTTGTCCATGGTAGTAGCATGATACAGCAGAGAAAGCATAGTTTGGTGTAGCTCTAGATACCATATGCAGAGCACCGCTATGTACCAGGCATGCTACTGTGTGCTTTACATATATCATCTCTAATCCTCCCCAAAACTTCCTCATTTTCCCCTTTTTTTACAGAGGAGTCTATCCCACATAAGACTTTGGCACAGGGGCCTGGTACACAGCAGATGCTCAGTCAGTAAATAATGGAAAAGAATGAATGAATGAAATGGCAGAAGTGAGATGTGACCTGACTTCACAGCTGTGTGCCTTCCACTACAGAACACACCTCAGAGCCTGAGCCCCACCATGCTAGAGTGAGGGAAGGGCCTGGTGGAGGAGGCCTGAGCAGGAGGCACGAGTGTGGGGTGATGGGGAGGGGCGGTGGTTATTAGGAGAAGAGAAAACCATAAAAGAGAGAGTGCAACCCTTGCTTTCAAAAAAGAGGACCATGAATGAAAACCAGAAAGGCTGAATGTTATCAAGGCCAATTGTTTTATAAACATCAAAGAAAATCAGCATTTAAATCTTGTGTTATACAAATTCCTAAGAAGACCTTATTCAGAGAATCAAACAGCACCATAAATAAGACCACTACATGTAGAAGCAGTTTCTGTGAACTTAGATAATGATGGTGACTTTTCTAGTGTTGAGTAGCCAAGCAGTCTTGACTCTCAGAGTTGCCAAAAATAAGAAGTAGGAGACTGTGCGATGGGGAAGGAGAAACACTTTGCTTTGGCCTCGCTTTTCCTAGGATCAGCAGCTTTCTTATGCACCCCTCCTCAACAACAGATTAAAACATTCTGATGTTTTTCAGGTAGTTATTTTCTTTTTAGTGCATATCTGCATTTTTTTCATCCTAGCATCTTGTTATATTACAAATAATGGAACTGAAAGAAAAACTGGAGGGAGGACAGAAAATTAATAAAATAAATCAGGAAGAATAATTTCTGAGAAGAGATGAAAACAGAACCGTCCAATTTGGCTAAACAAATATCCATCCACCATCATTTGAAAGGATTGTACATCATAGAAAGATTGTGGAAGCATATACTATTGCTTCACAAATCACTGCATCTAAGAAGAATGGAATAAGATTAAAAAAGAAATGCTAATTTGAAATGTCTATGAAACTTATTTCATTCCATTTAAACATGGTGATGAATTTATGCTTTGAAAAATCTATCTGGCTTCTGGAAATATTCTCATATGCGAAGACATATAGAATAGTAGAAATTATTAAATTCCTCTCCTGGAAGAAAAACAACATCCATTTTTGATATTCAGCTTTCTGGTACCAAATATGTTCATCATGTTCCAAAACCAACTTTTAGAGCTATTGCCAAACATGTAGAAGGAATAATAGAAAAGAAGAAATTGTATAATTCAAGGCAGTTCTAGTGAATTGAGAATTATAGCTGTATTTAAAACATTCCCAGAGTTGATTCCTAGTTTGCCTGTGGCATCTGTATTACCTGTGAGCTGCAGAAGACTCATAAACAATAAAAATGCAGAGGAAATGAAAAAGACGTAGGGTAAATTACATATACAAATATACTTATAATCAGCATGCAATATACTAAATGAGGTTCCCAGGCAATCTGACAACCTATTTGAGGTGAATGGGGAGCAATGCCAAGTTAAGTGGACTTTCTCATCTGTTCTAATAACTGCTATGGTAGATGGACTCTAAGATGGTCTCCAATGATCTTGCCTCCTGGTGTTCATGCCCTTGAGAAATCTCCTCTTGACTGTGGGCAGGACCTGTGATTTGTTTCTGACCAATAGACTATGGCAAAGGCAATGGGATGCCACTTCCATGATTACATTACATAAAATCGTAATGCTCTTCTTGCTAGCAGGTTCCCTCCCTTGCCAGTTCTGAAGCAAGCTGCCATGTTTTGAACTGCCGCATGGAGAGGCCCACATGGCACAGAAGTGAGGGCAGGTTTAGGCAAACAGCCAGGAGGGAACTGAGCCCTGTGTCCAACAGCCAACAAAGAACTGAATCCTGCCAACAACCACATGAGCTTGAAGGAAATCCTTTTCCAGGTGGGCATTCTGGTGAGATTTCAGCCTTGGCCAATGCTTTGATTGCAACCTCTCAAGAGATCCTGAAGCAAAGGACCAAGGAAAGGCATGTCTGGCTTCCTGACTCACAGAAATTGTGAGATAATACATGTGTGTGGTTTTAAGCTGCTAAATTTTGTAGGATTTTGTTATGCAGCAATAGGTAACTAATACACCATGATCATCACCCACTCATTCATTCCTTAGTTTATTCAACAAGTATTTAAAAATATGTGTTAGGTACCAGGCATATACTAAGCACTGGAAAACAAAACAGTCATGATGTATAACTTCGAAGAGCTTACCATCTAGTAGAAGGGTTATGGGGGCATAGGCATTAACAACTAATCACACCTAAAACTAAATAATTTCAGCTGGGATAGGTACAACAAGGAAAAATACAGCATGCTATATGTGTGTATAAAAGGGGGCCTAGTTCAATCTGGAGATCAGGGAAAGTCTCTTGAGGAAGTGACATTTAAGTGAAAACTGGAAGGATTAGTAAGAGTTAGCTCTTCCAGGCAAGGGATCAGCAAGTGGGGAGGGCTTGAGGTGAAGACAGAGGCAGGGATACACTGAGCAAGGGGTAGTGGTTTGAAATGAGGCTGGAAAGACAGGGGCCAGGCCCTTGTTGTGAAATCTTAGAAGGGTTTTAACCAAGAAGTGGCATGATCAGTTTAGTATGTTAAAAGAGGAGAATACTGTGTCCACTTTAAAATTTCTACGTATAGTCTACATTTATAAAGAGCTTCCTGTATTCCAAGTACAGTCCTAAGCACTTAAGTGTGCTAAAACACTTAATTTGTATAACACTCTATAAGAAAGGAACTAAGTTATCTCCATTTTACAAATGAGGAAACCAAAGAGTAGAGAGCTTTGATAACTTGCCCAAGATAGTGTGGCTGGAAAGTGCAGAGCCTAGGTTTAAACCCAGGCAGCTAGCTTGGAGTCTACCCACCTCACCACTGCTTCACAGAACTTCCTTCCACAGTGGGGTGTGGGAAGGGGGGACGACTCACAGGAGCCTTTCTGGTTGGAAGGAGGGGGAATTGGAGATGTCTTGCAGCGATGCTTGAATAGCACTTTACATAACACTGGGAAAACATCAGGTGTCTATGTCAATTCTGCCTAATATGACAGCTACCAGCCACATGTGGCTATTGAGCAATTAAAATGTGGGTAGTCCAAAGTGGGACATGAGGGAAGTATAAAATACACAGCAGGTTTTAAAGACTTAGTATGAAAAAGAGAATGTAAAATATGTCATTAATAATTTTCATATTGATTACTTGTGTAAAAGATAATATTAAAGTATATTAAGTTAAATAATATGTATTACCAAAAAGAAATTCACTTGATTTACTTTTTAAATCTGGGTACTAAAACACTTTAAATTGCATGTGTGGCTCACATTATGTTTCTGTTCAATGACACTGGCCTACATAAAGAATGGGGATGTGTGATGGAGGTTATGAAGATGGGAGACTAATGACTCTCCCAAACCACCTCTGAGTGCCACACTGGAGGCCAATCTGGTGTTTCTAAAGGACCACTGACGGGAGATTTTGTAATATCCTCCAAAAGGGGAAGGGTGTGGAGAAAAGTGCTTGAAGGAGAAGGGGCTTAAGGTGCCAAACCTAGAGCAGGGCTTTAGGGGTTCCTTACCATAACAGCTGTCAGGACTTCTAGATTAACTGCAACATGCCTGAGAAATAGGGACTATGCTCCAAAATGTGACATAGATCTCACCAATACGGGTCTGATGTTTAGAACAGTATGTGGCATGTGGTAAGTGCTATACAAGTATGAGCTATTATCATTATCATTTTTATTATCCTGTGCCTAATTTCGGCAGGGAAACAACAGGGCCACTGGCCTTCAGAGGGTTGTTGATATCTCAGCTTTGGCAAGGGTAGTTCAGAGGGACCTCCCCAAGTGTTCCAGATTGCATAAGACACCTAGGATCTTGTAGCTTAGGGAGGCAGCCTCACTAATAACTAAGATTTAATTTCTTGCCAACTGGTAAGTGGAAACTTGGAGTTGGATTTAGTTTGTTCAGAAAAATAATGTGCCAATGTTTGCTGCTGAGTATTAAGTTCGATTAAAATTCATGTTCATGGGCTGGCCCGGTGGCGCACTCGGTAAGAGTGTGGCCCTTGGGAGTGCGGCGGCACTCCGCCAAGGGTTCGGATCCCATATAGAGACCGGTCCGCTCACTGGTTGAGCGCGGTGCGGGCGCGACACCGAGGGTTGCGATCCCGTTGCCGGTCACGAAAAAAGACAAAAAGGAAAAAAAAAATTCATGTTCATTACCACGGCCTTTGATTTTTGAAGCAAGGAGACCAGCTCTTTTACCGGATCTTAAAATTGACATATATTTTTGATTAATAGCCAGTACAACTGGGTGTGAAGAAACTATTCAATGAAAATATTTTTCTAATGTAATTGCCCATATGTCTGCATATTCGAAATATTATAAAAATGATTTTACAACCTGTAATTTTTTGAGATCCTTGAAGGCTTCTGGGTGAATTTTGAATATCTTGTTGCTCTTTAAGTAGAGGTGTTCCAGTTTCAGGCAGTTATGAAAATCAGACAACCCAATTTGCAATATCCCATTGAATGACAGATCCAAACTCTGCAATGACTTCAGTTTCCACAGTCCTGTTAAAATTAAAAAGTAAATTAAAATCTAAACTGGTGGTATTTACTGCAGCATTGTTTGCAATGGTGAAAAATATTAATGGTTCTCAATTGAGAAATTATTAAAGTATGGTATTATTAATACTGTGAAATACTATGTAGTCTTACAAGAGAATGGGGTAGATCAACATGTGAACTGACTGAGGAAGAAGGGAAATGTTAAGGTGCAGACAGTGTAGAGTATAATTCTTGAAAGAAAAAAAGAGTCATACACAAACATATACGAGGGTACTTTAAAAAGTTCACGGAAAGATTAGTATTATCTTTTAATTCTATTTTCCATGAACTTTTGGAAGTACCCTTGTACATATATTTTGAGTGAACAGAAAAAAGGCCTGGGGGGAGATGAACAAAACTATTAGTAGTAGTTACACTTAGAAGTAGGGTGGTTGAGGGAGCTGAGGAGGGAAATGGAAGGAAACTTTGTTTTTATTTTATATGCACTTGAATTCTTTCTTTTAATGAGCATGTGCTACTTTTAAAGTAAAAGCACCAATTAAAAATCTAACCTTGATTAAAGGAGGTGAAAAGTAAATGTTTATTTGATTAACTGTGGGCAAAACTGAGTAATCTTGCTATGGTAACAGAAGAAAAAGTTGTTTTGATGCTTTATTTACATAGATGAATTCTTTCAGTTTTGAGATTTTCTTATTCTATTTTGTAACCATATCCTTTCTTGCAAATAATTATTGTTGATATTATGACTATTTTCTAGGCTTTCTTGTACTTTTTAAATGTAAGAATTACAGCAAGATTTTGTTTTCCAGCAAAATAACCGAATTGCATTTTGGTCTCTGCATTTGTATTTCACTTGATTCCGCAGAGTAAGCAGGAGGACCATTCAGCACTGAAAATAAATAAAGGTTGAGTAAGAGGTGCCAGTCACAGCAGTCTCCCAAATTTGACTTCCCATATGGGTCTGGCAAAGAAGTGCCTGCATCTTTCCATTTCCTTCTGCTCTGTTCTCCCATGCAGGCTGTGCCTTTAACCAACCACAGTACTACATAACAGATCAGGTTGGCACAATTCCAGAGGGGTTTGTTTATTCCTTGCCTGCTGTCTGCAAGGTACTTATTGTACCTTAAGACTGATGAAGCAGAGAGATGATGACTTAATTGAAATGGCTGTACCATCTGGGTTGTCAAATGCCCATTTTAGTTGTATAGAGTAAGCAAGAGACCATTAGGACAACGAATCAACCAAAACATTATAGGCAAGGCACTTGGTGCTGAGGACAAGTATAGCACAGAATCCTCACCCTTCAAGAGTTTAGTCTGGGCAAATAAGACACACACACACAAGAAAAAGCTACTGGTGATACAAAGTAGTTCATCACATGCACATCCATCAATAAAATTAACTGTCATTTGTCTGTCCACCTATCCATCAGATGATCAAGCTCCTTCAGGGCAGAATTCCCATCTTTGAGCTCTTATAATGCCTGGCATACATTCATTAGAGTATACAGTCAATAGGCCATAGATTTAAAAATCATTTTAAATAGATTTAAAAGTTGTTGAGCTGACATTAAAAAGTCAACATAAAAATTTGCATTTTCTCTTGAAAAATTGGCAGTTCCAACTGGTACAAGATGACATTTGGCTGGAGCTAAATGAGGGCTGCCTGCTTTAGATGGGGAAATGAGCTTATAGAAGAGTATGATTTCTTTGTACTCATGTTTCTACCGAAAATAGGAAAACAAAGCATAGGTCAAGAAGACTACATGTTTAAAAAAATGTGGGAGAAGAGCAAGGCCGATATTCAGCTGGCATATGCTAGTCAGAAATACTTTCTCACTGATTTGTAAATAGCCATTGCCTGAGCATCTGCATGCTGCCCATTGCCCCAGGCACTTTGGTCTCCCCTCCCACCAACCTCCTCCCAATCCAGTAGGACTCTGCACTAGCACTGCAGCCAGGAGACATCTAACTAGGGAGCCCAGGCTGAAGGCTAGTTGTTAAGTATTTTGATTATAACCATTGGAGAAAATATGTTTCTTTGTGCAAAGAAGAATATTCCTACATATTTTAATATGCTAACATATGGGTCTGTAAGAAAAAAATGCAACATAACATACTAGTAGGAAAGAAGCTATAGTTTCCTTAACATTTTCATGTTACCTGCCTGGCCTATATAGGAATGTGAACTCATGGTTCTCAAAATATCTCAGCACTTAATTGAATTAAATTAAGTACCAGGAGCTCAGGGGGAGGGAGAGATCATGCCTAGCTCTGAAGTAGAGGGAAGAAATTATTTTTAAACTCCTGTTTAAGTGTGAGCTCTTATACGCTAGGTATTTCACAAACATCTCCTTTTAATCTTCACAAAGCCCTGAGGTTATCACCATTTTACAAATAAAAAAACCTAGGCTCAGCGAAGTTAAGAACTTGCCGAATGTCATAGTAGGTGGCACTGGGATCAACCATTACCCTTAACCATGCCCATATTTTTAATTAAAAACAAAACAAAACACTAACAGAGCCCCAAAGAACAACTCATATTTAGAAAGGGGAAGAGAACGCTGAGGGCAGGGCTCTATAGACAGAAGAATGGTCTGAGCCTTGGAAGACATGATGAATATATAATGAATATATGGAATACACAATTGCCAAATGGCACTTTCATTATGTGTTCCGTGGCTGGCTTAGACTGTTCTTTTGCCTAGAGATCCCTGTATTGGGGGTTAAGTTATCCTGTTTGTGTCACGGAGTCAGTAGGGTCCTACAGAGGGACTTAAGAGACTGAGTTTTATTTTATGTTTGTTTATGACTTTTGATGTGAGTCAGGAAACATCGCTTAAGGTCTCCATGCCTCAGTTACCTTCCTTAAAAATTGCTTCTCACAGCTGGAATTGAGATCTGTCTTTGATTACTAAGATATGTGAGCTTTTTGAGCCCAGTGGAAGCCAGGTCCAACAGTTTGGATTATTATTCGGCAAATATTCACTCTCCTGTGGGCAGCATTTACTTCCCCATTCCACTGAGTTGAGTTTGGCCATGTGATTTGCTTTGGCCAATGAATGTTAGCAGAGGTAGCGTGAGCCAATATATGAAATGTGCTGATCTGGTGGGATTTGCTCTCTTGGCTTTGGCCAGTGTCATAAAAAGAACATGGCCTGGCTAGTCTGCTGCTGGTTCAAAAGCAGTAAATGTGGAACAGACTTGGACCCAATATGTAGCTTTCAAGATAAAATGTGCAATCTCTTGAGGAATAACAACTGTGTAAAAGTAGGGTTAGAGCTGGTCTTGGCTACCAAAATATTTTTTTATTTATAGAATCCAAGTTGTTCAGTGAGATCTGGCACATTAGTTCCACCAGCCTCTGGTGACTGCATGTGGATTGTGCTGGAATGTTTTGTAAATGCTGACATTCTATCTTGTGAATGGGTTGATGCTGGGATGAAGATGAGGACAGAAACTTTTACTAGGCTAGCATCAAATATGGTTTGCCAATACTGGCTGCAGAAAGCCCAGGGCATGATATCCAGCTGGCCTTAAGAGGGGTGGGTGTGAGGTGCTCTGAGATCCAGGCTTCAGGAGAAGAGCTCCTGATAAAGTAATCTGACCTAGGTGAATTCCAGAGATCAACTGCAGGCAATATTCTGATCCCCACACAACAGAATAAATTCCAGTTGAGTTAAAAGTATAACCTGCCTGAAAAATCTTCTCTGACGATTTTGCCACTGATGGAGTGTGAGGCACATTTACACAAGAGCTTGGTGAAATTGAACCTGGGGGAAGCTGTTTTTGAGAATAAAAGCAAAGGAAGAAATTGTAATGGAAAATATTAACGCATTTTACTATAAAACATTTAAATTGAGTGCATGTCAGGAACATTACAAAAAGAATAAAGAAAAGGAAGAGAGCAGATTTCTTATTGGAAACAATACAAATTGAAGATAGTGGAGCAACATTTTAAAAATATCAAAAAATTTTTAAATGTCGGCATAGAATTCTTTATTGAGTGAAAAAATATTTTTAAAATGAAGGCAAATAAAGACTTTTCAGATATACAAGATTTGAAAGAATTCATCAGCAGTAGACCTACACTAGAAGAAATGTTAAAGGAAGTCCCTTAACTGGAAGAATAATGAAGCCAGATGGAAGCCTGGATCTACACAAAGGAACAAAGAGCTCCAGAAATGGTAACTATGTGGGTTAATAAAAATATTTTTTCTTATTATTTAAATCTCTTTAAAAGATAACAAACTATTTAAAGCAAAAATAGTAAAAATGTTTTGTGGAATTTATAACATATAGGGGTTAAATGTATGACAGCACTTGCACAAAGGCCAGGAGAGAAAAAAATGGGAGAATACTGTTCTAAGGTTCTTATGTTTTAGGCAAGTAGTATAATGCCATATAAAAATAGACTGTGATATCAAGATGTCTATTGCAAACTCCAGAGCAACCACTAAAACAACAAATAACAAAGAATTATGGCTAGCAAGCCTGAAAAAAAAGATAAAGTAGATTAATAAAAAAAAATACACAATTAATGCAAAAGAGGCAGAAAAAGGAAGAGAAAAATAGAACAGAGGGAACAGGAGAAAAAAATATTAAGATGGTAGATTTAAATAATGGCTTAAAAACCCAAATTCAAAGGCAAGGATCCTCAGATTGTATAAAAAAGCAAGTGCCAACTATATAATGCCAACTATATAAGGAGCCTATTTTAAATATAAAATCACAAATAGGATAATTGGAAAAGGACAGAAAAAGATAGCCTTTTAAACAAATGGTGCTGGAACAATTAGATAGCCATATGCAAAAAAAAAAAAAAAAAAGTAATAATAAAAAGAAAAAAATGAACTTGGATCCACACCACACATTATATACAAAATTAACTCAAAATGGATAGATATAAATGCAATGCCTAAAACTATGACACTTCTAGAAGAAAACATAACATTTTTGAGTCCTTGAGGTGGACAAAAGTTTTTAGATATGACACCAAATCAT